GCAATTAAACTTTGTTCATCTAACTTTGTTCTCGTCGATTTTTTCCTTTTAAGAATATAAATACGTTTCAATTTTAGGGCCGGGTTGGGTGAGGACGGTTCTTTGAGGGTTTAAATTGTTTTTTTGCTTTGGTGTTTCTCAATCGATGGTTTTCCGGATTCTGCACTCTATGAATTGATTTTTTTTTGTTATATATTTATATAACTTTTTTTCGTAATCAATTTTTTATTTCGTGGGCGTAAGCGCTATAATTTCAATTAGACACATAATCTCCGAAACTACTAAGCTGATTGTTGTCAACTTTTGTATGTATATTAAGAGTATTATGTAAATGGTAAAACACTAACCAGCATTTAAAAGTTAAAAAAACGAAAAATTGCAAATCGAAGAACTGAGGAAATGAAAAATTGAAATGTTGAAAAACTAAAAATTAAAGAATCGAAAAATTGGAAAACCCAAAAAATGTGAAATAGAAAAATTGTGGAATCGTCAAAATTGTAAAATCCAAAAACTGTAACATTGAAAGATCAAGAATTTGAAAAATTAAAAATCGAATAATCGAAAAAGTGTTTTTTTTAATTATATTTTTTAGATACATGTTTAAAATGAAAACTAGAAAAATTTCAAGTCAAAAATTGAAGAAAGGAAAAATTGAAAAACTGGAAACTGAAAAATCTAAATGTTGAAAATGAAAATCGAAAAATTGAAAACCGAAAAATTGTAAATCGAAAAATTGTAAAATTTCACATTGAAAAAACGCAAAAATTATAAATTCAAAACATTGAAAAATCGAAAAATTGACAAAATAAAGAATATTAGAAATCGAGAAACTGAAAACTCGCGAAATTTTACAGTTTTTCCAATTTTTTTTTAGTTTCGAATTCTCGATCTTCTGATTTTTCGACTTTCATTTTTTCAATTTTTTGTTTTTTTCTGCTTTGAGTGCCGCATTTTAAATTTTTTGATTCTTCAACTTCTCTCTATATATTTTAATTTCTCGATATTTCAGTTTTCCGATTTTTCTGTTTTTCACTTTTTTGAATGTTTAGATTTTTGACTTTGGTTTTTTCGATTTCTGGATTTCTCTATTTTTCTGTTTTTGTGACTTTTGCAATATCCGATTTTCGATCTCAAATTTTTCTATTTCTCTATTTCTCAATTTTCCGACATTTCGGTTTTACATTTTTCAATTTTTGTCGCTTTTAAAATTGCCATTTTTCGATATCTCGATTAATGGACTTTTCAACTTACGATTGTTCGATTTTTTGATATTCCACTTCCGGATTTTTCAATTCTTCATTCTTTTAATTTTTCTATTTTTAAAATTTTCGATTTTTCAGGTTTCTAATTTTTCAATTTTTTATTTCTTAATTTTTCGATGTTTCAGTCGTGACATTCTTAAATTTTTCGACTTTCTGATTTATCGATTTCTCGTTTGTTCAATTTTTCGATTTTTTGAAGTTTCGATTTATTTTTCAATTTTTCAAATTCCCAACATTTCAATTTCTCATGTTTCAATCCGTCGATGTTTCTGTTCTTCCATTTTTCCAATTTTTAAATTGTCGACTTTCGATTTTTCGATTTTTTGATGTTTCAATTTCTGGATTTTTCAATTTTTTGATTTCTCGATTTATCAAGAATTCGCTGTTTCAATTTTCAATTTTTAGGTTTTTGAGTTTTCCTATTTTTTAATGTTTCGATTTTCAATTTTTCGATTAGTCGAGATCTCTTTTTTTTATTTTTTAGTTTTTGTTTCGGTTTTTTTTTAATTACTTTTTTCAATGGAAAATTTTCCAATTTTTGGATTTGTAGTTTTTCGGTTTTTCAACTTCTGAATTTTTTTTATTTTTCGTTTCTTAAATTTTTGAATTGGAATTTTCGTAGTTTTCGTTTTAAATACGTAATAGTAATAATAATAATTTAAAAAATCACGTAATCAATTTTACGACTGTAGATTTTTTCTGTTTTTTAATCTTCTGATTTTCAAATTTTTTATTTTTCGGATTTCAATTTTTTTAAATTTTCATTTCTTCAAATTTTAGATTTGCAATTTTTCAATTTTTAATTTTAATCAAAATTTGACGTTGTGCAACTGTGAGTTTTCATTTCAAAATTTTTCAGTTTTTCTATTTTCCGATTTTTAAATGTTTCACTTTTTAGATTTAGCAATTTTTCGATTTGCAGTTTCACGAGTTTTTAATTTATAATTTCTCAATTTTTCGATTTTCAGTTTTTTGTTTCGTTTTTTTTTTCATTTTTTCAATATAAAATTTTTCAGTTTTTGGATTTGTAATTTTTGGATTTTTCAACTTCTGGATTCTTTAATTTTTCGTTTCTTTAATTTTTGAAATAGAATTTTTGTAATTTTTGTTTTAAATCTGTAATAATAATAATAAATATGATTATTTAAAAAAAATCACTTTTCCAACTTCAAAATTTTAGATTTTTTCCATATTATTCAATTTTAAAACTTTATCAACTTTTCGATTTTTAATTTTTTAGTTTTTTGATTCCCCAATGTTTTCCCTTTTTTTCCGATTTTGTAACTTTCTATTTTTCTAATTTCAGTTTTTTTTTCGATTTGCATTTTCACGAGTTTTCAGTTTTTATTTTTCAGTTTTTCATAGCTTCAATTTTTCAACTTTTAGATTTTTTAATTTTTCGTTTTTTTGAATTTTAGATTTTTTGGTTTTGATTTTTCAATTTTTCGTTTCTTCAATTTTTCCAGCTTTCATTTTACATATGTAAAAATAATAATTTAAAATTTTTTTCCCTTTTTTCACTTATAGTTTATTTATTTTTTTTTATTTATTCAGTTTTTGGACTATTCATTTCTCCAAATTTTTGGATTTTCAATTTTCCTTTCGGTTTTTTATTTTCTTTATTTTTGCAACATTTCGATTTATCAGCGTTCCAATTTTATAATTTTTTTGTTTTCGGTTGAAAATTTTTCAATTTTTCGATTTGCAATTTTTTTCATTTTTTTTTTTTTTTCGAATTGCACTTTCGCGGGTTTTCAATTTTCCAACTTCTGGGTTTTTCAATTTTTAGATTTTGCAATTTTTCGTTTCAGTTTCTTATTTCTTTTATTTTTCAATGTTTCGATTTAATAATTTTTTGTTTTTCTTTAATTTAAATTTTTTCAGGATTTCATCTATTTAATTTTTTGTTTGCAACTTTTAAATTTGCAGTTTCATGAGTTTTCAATTTTTAATTTTTCAATGTCTTCAATTTTTCGTTTGGGTTTTTAATTTTTTTCATTATTTCAACGTCAAATTTTTCAGTTTTTGGATTTGTAATTTTGAAAATTTTAATTTTTTTAATTTTTCGTTTCATCAATTTTTACATTAGAAGGGTTGTAGTTTTCGTTTTAAATACGTAATAATAATTTAAAAAAAACGTTTTTTTCAATTTTACGATTTTAAATTTTTTCCGTGTTTCAATTATTGGATTTTAAAACTTAATCAACTTTTCAATTTTTAATTTTTCAATTTCTCAATTCTCCAATTTTCATTTTTTCGTAATTATCGATTTGCAATTTTTCAATCTTCCGATTTTATAATTTTTTGTTTTTCCAATTTCAATTTTTTCAATTTTTCATTTCTTCAAATTTTAGATTTGCAATTTTTTAATTTTAAGTTATGCATCTCTGAGTTTTCATTTTTCGATTTTCCAATTTTAGAACGTTTCACCTTTCAGAAAAATCGGAAAACTGGCATATTAAAAAAATTTAAAATCGGGAAATCGAAACATCGAAATTGAAAAATCGAAAAATCGGATAATTGGAAAACCAAAAAACGAGAAATCGAAAAATCGATTTTCAAAATTTTATAAAATCGAAACTGACAAATCGAAAAATTGAAAAATCCAAACACCGAAAAACTGGAATATTGATAAATCGAAAACTAAATATTCAAGAAAACGAGAAATCGAGAAATTGAATAATTTAAAATTTAAAAAACCGAAATTAAAATGGAAACACCCAGATCTCGAGAACTTGTAAATTCCAAAAATCGAAAAACTGAAATACATATTACAAAATTTACAAATCGAAAAATCAAAACATCAAAAATTGTAAAAGCGAAAAATTGAAAACCGAAAAACTGAAAAATAAAAAAAGCGATATCTCGACTAATCGAAAAATTGAAAAATTGGAAAACTCAAAATTCTAAAAATTGAAAATTGAAACTGCGAAAAATTAAAAATTAAAAACTCGTGAAACTGCATAAACGAAAAATTGAAGAGACGGAAAATTGAAAAAAAAAACAATTATGAAATCGAAACATTGAAAAATAAAGGAAATAAAGAACCGAAACGAAAAATTGCAGATTACAAATTAACAAAATCAAAAAAATAAAAAATTCAGAAATTCGAAAAATTGTTAAATCTAAAAATTGAAACGTCCAAAAGCTGGAATATCGAAACATTGATAAACTAGAGATAATAAACACCAAAACGACAAATAAAAAAATAGAAAAATTAAAAACTTAAAACTCGAGAAACACAAATCGAAAAATTGGAAAATTTAAACTTGAAAACTCAAAAAAATTACAAACTGATAAACTGAAGCAAATAAAGAAAAAGAATTGAAAAATTCAAGTCAAAAAAGTATTTTTACGCCACCCGGAATTTTATTTTATTGATGTCATTCTTCTTATTACCCTTCTTAAATAAATATTATTTTGTTCTTGTTATCACTAATTCCCTCAAGATTCTCGCCGTCACCTCGGTTGCATTTTTTCAATACGAACCTAAGCATTAAATATTGCACTAGCCGCCAGAGAGGCAATTAAACTTTCCTAATTTAACTTTGTTCTTTTCCAAGTCGAAATTCCCGAAATTCCTCTTTTTTTGAATATTAATACGTTTCAATTTCAATTCGTCCGCCTCGAACAAGAAAAATCCGCATAAACTTTTAATGAAATCCCTTTCGAGCCTCACCTCCACCTTCCTCTAATTAATTATCTATCGATCTCGCCTCTCTATCTTTCGTCTTCCAGAGCCCCAAGACAAGGACCCGACCATCACCTTCAACAAGGGCACCTACGAGATCGGCGAAGTCGTGGAGGCGAACTGCACGACCGCCGCCGCCAGGCCGCCGCCCCACATCACGTGGCTAATTAATGGCGAAAAGGTGGGTTCTCGAATGTAAATTAGATCAAAGTCGGACTTATCGCTCGCTAAAACCGCTCAAATACACCTTTTACCCGCTAGCGCATACGCTCGAACGTTATCAATTTAATTTATGCGAGCCGCGATAGTGGATAGTAATTACGTTTGAAAAAAACTATATAAATATATTTTTGTCTTTGCATCCTTCGGGCGTAAAATCGGTGCCCCAAAACCCGACTCCGAGGGAGAAGAATCGATCATCTTTAAAAAAAGAATCCTAAACATATCCCGCACTACGTCACGCCGACTCATTCTCGTGGAAGAAAAACGGCGTTAGTTGCTACGCAACCCGGAAAACGTTAAAAATAGCGGTCCTCAAACTTGAGGGAGTCCCAGCATAAATCACGTCATAACTCATTTTCGCATCGAGATAGTGCGATAGTTCTCGCGCCCACGCACTCCCGTCTAATGGCTTGTCATCTATAATAACAGCAGCTCTGCATAACCGAAATGATAAGCCATTCATCCACTCAACGCGAATTTACGGGAAAAAAATGCGCCGAGTCCCCTCTTCTCGCCCGAATTTCCGCCGAGTCCCCTCTCCTGACGTAACCGGACTTGGTGCTGCAGGTGCCCGACGCTCTGACCAAGTCCTTTTCCAACGGGATGGTCCACGGCCACGGCTACTTCGATCAAAAAGCATGTTCCATCAAACAGCTCGCGATAGAAGTGTCGGAGCTGCACGTGGGTGACGACGGGGAGCTGCGGCTCACTTGCATGTCGACGATTCCCGGTTACATCAACCCGAACGAAGTTTACGCTGATGAAAGGAAAACGTCGGTGCGAAGTGAGTTGTTTTCGTACAAACTTTTTCCTGATTGTAGTTGTTTTTTTGTTGTAGTCGAAATCGAGATGACGGAAGGTCCCGTGGAGGCCATCTCCAACAACAACAACAACGTCTCGTCGAGTTGCGACCGGCGTTTCAGTTCGTACTCCTTCGAGGTCATAAACGTGGTTTTCGTTACGTTGTTTTATTGTCTATAGGTGTTGCGATGTTACTAGATTGTTTATGTTTTGGCAACGTTGGTCAAACTGGTTTCTATTTTCTAAACTTTATAGAATGGTGCTGTAGTCTAATTTAAGCGAAATTTACACAGTTGTTCCATTTTTTTACGCCTGCATTTGTTGACGTGTAAATTTTGCGTTATTCGCTAAGATAGGGTAGTTTTTATTTGCTAGGTTAAATGTCGTATGATGGAAGCGACTTCATTTCAGTGCAGTAGAATCGTAATCGATGATCGGCCAACGAACAGTGCCACCATCTTGTCCACCAATCGAGATCCTACTGTCTATTTTAGTTTAAACTATAGTCAGTCTAAACTGGAATAGCACAATCATACAGCTTTTAGCAGGGTATAAGTCAAACAAAAACAAAAAATTGTATGGCTGTTTTCGTTCTTACTATACAATTATATAGTATGACATATTGTTATGACTTAACGTTTAGTTTATCAAAGTTTTAAGATCTGTACATATAAGTGTGAATATTGTATCTATCTGGAGAGCACTTTCATAATTTCGTCACCGAACGACGCCTAATTTCGCACGTACTTATTTCGAGGTTATGTTAGTCATCGACCGGTTTCGTGCTCTTGGAAACTTACCGATCTATTGTCAATTAACAAAACAATCATTTATTTAAGACAGGAGACGTAATTAAGCATTTTTCTCGCACGAATTTATCATACTGGGTGTTATTTTCTCATCATTTCTAGCTGTTATGAATGTTATTTGTTTAATGTGATGTCTTTCCGATGTACCGATTCATGTTCTTGTTTGAGATTTGTTCGAAACAATCAAGAAACAATCATTTTTGAAGTAGGCTGTTGGGGCCGCTCCGCACGGGCACTTCTCGGGAGGGATCAACAATCACTGCAACCAAAGTCAATCAAGAAGTCAATATCGGCGCGAACTCGTGCGCGGTGGCCCCAAGTAAAGCGCGCGGGCATTAAAAGGCGCTAAATTCAAATTCCGTTTGGTTGTATTTTGTCATATCTAGGTTAGGACTAACGCAAATTTGACGCTATATAACGATAGTCTTATACTAGGTAAATAGCTTAAATGACTGTTGCTAGAACAGTTCGCGGGCTATTATGGCCAAAAATGTCTTCCTTGAAAAAGCTATTGTCTATTATAAAGATAAGGGAGCAAAATTGTCACTTCGAGCTAGAGATCTTGTAGACTTTTTGTTTCTTGATTAGTGCAGATTTTGATTCACACAAAATGACTGATATAGAAAATAAAATCACGTATTTTTTCTAGTTGTGCACTTGGAGGTTCTTTCAGTTCGATTTCTGAGTCGCGCGCCGACGTTTGATACAGGAAATACGCCCTAAGCTCGTAGATTTGACAATAAATTGCTTTAATGAAAATAGTTTGGAGGTTTTGTTCGGATTTTTCTCAGTGTCTCGAAATCCCAACAAAATTCATGCGATAAGTTGTACATATACGTGTGAGATGTAATTGTATGATTACTAAATGTTTTACGACGACTATCTGATAATAAATTAATTATGTACTTATGGTGTTTTACTGGACAGTGTCGAAACTAACGGGAAAAAATTGGTCGAAAGAGTTTAGACAGTACTTCCTTCGCTGTCGGAAACTTGACGACTGGATGCCTATTGTGTTTTTTTTCTCATTACATTTTTGTTGTGGGAATTTAAAAAAAATTGCGATGACGTCATCAACATTTTTGCAAGGACACGTATATCAGTTGGGATAGATGTAGTGTAATACTAAGAATAAAATTATTATATTCTCAAATTTTCGGGAAAATGAATTGGGTCGTTTTGAATATTGATTTGTAATAATCAATAAAATAACGAAACAATTTACTCACGTATACGTATCAGAGGCAACTGAAAATCGTGTATGTATAAACATTCTTAATTTAAGATGACAGGCGTAACAGCATACGTGAGAGTCAAACAGAGAAACTGTAAACAAAACGACCATCGGTTTTATTGCTTCGACTTCCGCTTATTATATAAAACATTGGGTTTTATTTTAATTCTTGACCGTGAAATTCACAATTGGTTGATTATAAACATGTCTATTTCACATTCGCGGAACCAAGTGAGCGCATAAAACAAATGCAGGTCTGTAATGTTAAAGTCGATGTAAATAAGCGTGCTACCCTTATGTTTCAACCGAGTTTTTCCTTTAACAAATTTTGTGTCTACCAAATTGGGTTGGTTGGGGTGTAATACTAATAATAAGTGTTGCCTTTAATTTAATCAATAAAATAAATTGACTTCATTAATTTTTTTGAACCACCTCTTAAGAAAATCTAAAAAATATGAATGGAATGATAAATCACAAGTACAAACTCATCATATTTTTTGCATTTTAGATAGGATTTATTCAGCAAAATTTAAGGGTGACGTCATCAATTTTTTTAGGAGGGATGAACAAATACATTTTGAACAAAAGTTTACCATGCTTATAATAACTTTAAAATATTCCCAAGATTTCAAAGCATTCGGTTTTGTAATTCCTGATTAAATCGATAAAATAAATTCACGCCTTCATTAATTTTTTTGAGTCACCCTGCATACGCAAATCCAAAAATATGAATGGAATGATAAATCACAAGTACAGACTCATCATATTTTGTACATTTTAGATACGATTTATTCGGAAAACTTTTGAGCTGACGTCATCAGTTTTTTGTAGAAGATAACCAAATATATTTTGACTAAAAATTTATTATGCTCTTTATAACCTTAAAACATCTGCAAGATTTCAAAGCATTCGGTTTTGTAGTTCCTAATTAAATCAATAAAATAAATTTACGCATTCATTAATTTTTTTGAGTCACCCTGTATATGCAAATCGAAAAAAATTGAATGGAATGATAAATCACAAGAAGAGACTCACCATATTTTGTACATTTTAGATAGGATTTATTCAGTAAAATTTTGTGGTGACGTCATACATTTTTTAGGGGGGACGACCAAATACATTTTGATCAAAAATTTACCATGCTTATGATATTTTAAAATATCTTCAAGATTTCGAAGCATTCGGTTTTGTAGTTCCTGAGTAAATCAGTAAAATAAATTTACGCTTTCATTTATTTTCTTGAATCACCCTGTATAAGCAAATCCAAAAAATATGAATGGAGTGATAGATCACAAGTACAGACTGATCATATTTTGTACATTTTAGATATGATTTATTCGGCAAATTTTCGAGCTGACGTCATCAAGTTTTTGGAGGGGATAAACAAATATATTTTGACTAAACATTTATTATGCTCTTTATAACCTTAAAACATCTGCAAGATGTCAGAGCATTCCGTTTTGTAGTTCCTGACTAAATCAGTAAAATATATTCACGCATTAATTAATTTTTTTGAGTCACCCTGTATATGCAAATCCAAAAAATATGAATGGAGTGATAAATTACAAGTACAGACTCATCATATTTTTACAGTTTAGATAGGATTTATTCGGCAAACTTTCGAGCTGACGTGATCAATTTTTTGGAGGGGATAAGCAAATATATTTTGACTAAACATTTATTATGCTCTTTATAACCTTAAAACATCTGCAAGATTTCAAAGCATTCGGTTTTGTAGTTCCTGATTAAATCAGTAAAATAAATTTACGCATTCATTAATTTTTTTGAGTCATCCTGTATATGCAAATCCAAAAAATATGAATGGAGTGATAGATCACAAGTACAGACTCATCATATTTTGTACATTTTAGATATGATTTATTCCACAAACTTTTGAGCTGACGTCATCAAGTTTTTGGAGGGGATAAGCAAATATTTTTTGACTAAAGATTTATGATGCTCTTTATAGCCTTAAAACATCTGCAACATTTCAAAGCATTCTGGTTAGCAGATTAAAAATTAAATTTCAAAATGTTGTTTTATAATTTTGATTTTTTTTCCAAAAATCTGGACGTTTCGGGTGAAAAGTCGATTCAGAGTTGTAAACTACATGTGTAGGACTATGTTATTTTATACAATTGAAAACCCATTTACTATGTACAATTTTGAAGTGACGTCATCGCATTAGTGGTGGGGATGATTAGACAAATTTTGGTTAGCGTTTTACCATCTACATGATATTCTTAATATAAGTACAAAATTTCACAACAATCGGTCGAGTACTTTCGGAGATTATCTGTCTAATAAAAATCCGGGACGGCAGACGGACAGACGGACAGACGGACAGACGGACGGACAGACGGACGGACAGACGGACAGACAGACGGAAATGGGGGACCCATTTCTTCGTCTTCTACGGGTCATGAAAGATCGAGAAAACGTAAAAGTAGAGAGTCGGCCGACGGACTCGATTACAATACTTCCTTTGCTTACGCTCGGGAAGTAAAAATCTAGACATTCTCAATTTCTCAGTCCATGCTTAACTTCCACTGTTTATGTTTATACTTCAACCGAGTTCGACTATCAGCACGTTTAGAATACAAGCATCAGCTGTAAAAGAAAATGAAACTTGGTCGATTTTGTGTTCTCAGCGCAGAGCAAACGACTAACTGATTAATTCATACTCAGTTTTTTCCCCAAAAACACTGATAGGTTTGAAAAAATTCGGCAAAAATGTAGGATTCATAATTGCAATTTCAAAGTTAGATTCTAAAATATTGTTATACAATTTTGATTTTTTTTCCAAATTTCCAAAACTCTGGTTGCAAAAGGTAAAAACTCAACACAGATTCATAAATCACACATATGTCATTTTATAAAATTTAAGAAACAGTAGTTTTATAAAAGTAAAATTGGCAACACAGCACGCACCTAATGCGTGAATATCTGCGGCTTACTTTCTGATTTCTTAGTAACGATGGTGACCGAAATCCACCCTTTATTTTTTTTTAGGACAATATTCATAACAAGCTACTAACTAGCTAGTAAGACTGATTGTGGCTAATTAGATGCACCCGAAGAAAAGAGAGGGTGGGTGGGCGGGCCTAGTACATGCTAAAATAAGGCTGATTTTGCCCCACCCACCCACCCCCTCTTCATTCCAATGACTACTCTTAATATTGTTTAGTTTTATCTCAGCAAATGCTAGCCCCGCCCACCCACCCTTTATTTTCTTAGGTTGTATGTGATTTGCCAAAATCAGTCTCATCTTAGCAAGTACTGCCCCCCCCCTTCCGCTATGTTCTCATTCTAACGATTTTATATCTCTTCAATATAAGATCCACCTTTCGTTCAGGGCCGATAAAATCAATCACTGAAATGGGGGTGGGTCTTATTAATTAATGTTCGTTTGTACAATGGGAATAGAAACTAATAGAACCTAGGCTGTAATCGTAGTTTTTTGTAATACTATATTTTTACTACTACAATTAAAAATGGTAATTTTATAGAAGTGTGGGGGATAAAATTTTACCATCTTATACATCTTTTTAAATGTTTGTTGTGAAAAGAAGACTGCATATTAAGACGAAAAAAAGCAAAACGTAAGCCCCACCCACCCACCCGATCTTAATTATGACGATTTTTCCTTATTTATCGTTAGTCAGGAGGGGCGGAGCTTAAGTTTAGTTGTTTTCTGTAGATACGTAATCTTCTTTTCACAAGATATTTAAAACATATTGAAAATGGTAAATTCTTGTCGGGAAATACTGATTTTACAACTAAGCCCCGCCCCTCGCTCTGACAACGAATGAAAAATTCATCACATTTGAGGTTGGGGCGACGAGTGTCTTATTATTTTTTTTCATGACATATATAGTTTTATTTCAACAATATGACACTTAAAAGCATGTTTTATATGATAGATCCTTGTAGAGAAATAAGCATTTTGCAATTAAGCTCCGCCTCTCGGCTCACGACGAATAAAAAAGTCATCACAATTGATATGAGGGTGGGTGGGCGGGTTTTGTGTTTTGCTTTTTTTCCCTTAATATACGTAGTTTTCTTTTTATGATAAGAAACTGAAAATATACGTAAAAATTGTAAATTTGTAGAGGAGAGTGTGGGATAAAATTTATCATTTTACACATGTTTTCAATTCTTTGTTGTGGAAAGAAGACTGCATATTAAGATGAAAAAAATGCAAAATATAAGCCCCGCCCACCCACCCGATCTCAATTGTGACGATTTTTCCTTATTTGACGTGAGTCAGGAGGGGCGGAGCCTAAGTTTACTTTTTTTCTGTAGATTCTGTAGATTGTTTTCACAAGATATTTAAAACGTCTTGAACATGGTAAATTTTTGTCGCGAAATATTGATTTTATAATTAAGCTCCGCCCCTCGCTGTGACGACGAATGAAAAATTCATCACATTTGAGGTTGGGGCGGGCGGGTGGGGCTTATTTTTGGATTTTTTGTTCTTGACATATACAGTTTTCCATCAACAACTTAAAAACATGTTTCACATCGTAGATTCTTGTAGAGAAAAAAGCATTTTGCAATTAAGTTCCGCCCCTCGGCTCGTGGCGAATACAAAAATTCATCACAATTGAGATGAGGGTGGGTGGGTGGGGTTAGTATTTTGCTTTGTTTCCCTAATATATGTAGTTTTCTTT